ATAGAGACATCAATGAGAATTTTTTTAAAAAGAAATTGTATATACTTGCAGGTTTTAAGATTAATAATCATAGGACAAATATATTTTCCAAAACATGGAAAAACAAGATCAAAAGAATTGATGAATAAAAAGATTTAGAAGATAAAATATCTTGGTAGCCCCACGACAAATATGAAATATATGTTATTTCAAAATGTTTACATTAGGACATGAATGAGGTTAAAAAGGAAATATTAAGTTGTAAGTAATTACAATTGTCATTCTTGGGGGAAATTTCTGTGATAAAAATGAATGTTTTGTGTAGAATGATATTTTTGTCTCAGACAATGCCAGTTTTGACAAGTGTTGTATCATTTACACTGTGGCAAAAAGTTATATCTAAATTTGTATGGCAAATGGTAACAAGTTAAGTATAAGGTGTTACAAGATGCAAAGGAAAGACTTGGGTTTACCTGATTTCAAATTGTATTTACTGTTTGGTTTGGATGAAAAGAGTGGAAAGTAGAGTGAATCTTCTAAGTGTTTATGGGGATTCTCAGTCTTCCAGGTCATGGGTGTCACAAAGATGCTTTTATCAAAATACTTTCTTTGTTTTTCCTTGAAGACATTTTGCCTCTCATCCAAGAAGCTTCTTCAGTGGGTGGGGAATGGAAGGATTTATATTCCTTGCAGTCATTTGGTCAAGGAATATAAATCCTTCCATTCTCCACCATTCAGTCAAAATTGAAGAAACTTCTTGAATGAGAAAAGAAACTAACCAAAGAGAGAATCAACCTAGAACTAAGGAGAAATTTCTTGACAGAACAATTAATCAGTGGAACAACCTGCCTCCAGAAGCTGTGAATGCTCCAACACTGGAAGTTTTTAAGAAAAGACTGGACAACCATTTGTCTGAAATGGTATAGGATTTCCTGCCTGAGGAGGGGTTTGGACTAGATGACCTCCAAGGTCCCTTCCAACTTTATTATTATTATTATTATTATTATTATTATTATTATTATTATTATTATTATTATTATTAAAAACAAAGAAAGTCCAGTTGCCTTTTGAAAAAAGCACCTTTGAGAGTCTTCTAAGACTTTTAGACTTAGAAAAACATGACCTGAGATTTGAGTGGCAGGAGTATTTGAAGTACAATAAAGTTAAGGTTAATGGAGACTTCTAAAATCACTATGTTAGATGTGCCATATTGAGAATATGGAATAGATACAAATCTAGGTTGTGCCCTGAAGCACAACTTTTCTGACTCTCGGCACAAGAAGCATTTTATAAACAAGAAATAATAGGCAAACACAAATGATTAGCACACAATGAAACACTAGAATTCTGTCAAGGAGAATTTTTTTAAAAAATCAAGAGAACAACTGATGGCAGAAGGATGTAATTGTCAGTTGTTCTCTTATTTAACATTATCAGAAAGATTAGACAAAAAATGGTGGTATTGTCAGTACCTAAGACTGACTTTTAAATGGAATTGTGTACAAATGATGAACATGTGATTGCTGAAGTGTATAAGCTTTCATTGAAATTTGAAAGAGAAGAACAAGCGAAAGAATGCATGATGAAGTGGACTAAAAATTTTATATATGGAACAATTGGGAAATATGTGGTTTAAAGGACTGAAGTTTACTATAATCTTAAGGAGAATTTTTATAAAATAATATACCATTGGTATACAATACCAGAAAATTTATTCGGAAAGGTACTTCAAACCAGTGCTGGAAATGTGAATAACAGGAAGGATAATTTTGCTTGGTGAACATGTAAAAAGCAATAAAGAAGATTTGGGTTCAAATGCATACACCGATTCAGAGGATTTTAAATATTAATATACAATTGAAACCAGCAGTTGTCTTCTTGGGATATTTTAAATGGTTAAATGGTTGGGGGGGAAATCATGGAACTTTGTTTTTATATATGATAACCGTAGTGGGATTATTTTTATCTTTTTTGTGATTTATCACAGAAATTATCTTATTTATCTTTTCAAAGTTGGAAAGTTTTGGCAATACATATCATTGAGGAATGGTTTGTGAAGATGATAGAATTTGCTAAGATGGCCAAATTGAACTGTTTAATAAGAGAAAAGACAATATCTACATTTACTGCTGACTGAAAACCCCTTATGAACTTTTTGTGTAAAATAGGAAAAAAATTTTAACTATTAGATAGGATAGATTATAGAAAAAGAGAGAGTCACGGTGTAACTTTAGAAAAAGAGGTAAATCTATAATTCTACTTATAACCGCTGTAAAGAAGATAAGAAGCCATTTCTTTGTATATTTTTAAATGTTTTATGGTTTTTTTCTACGCCTTTTCTTTTTTCCTTCCTTTTCTCCTTCTCACGTTATTTTAGTTTGTATTAA